CTCTCTTTAGCAACTTTGTTGCGAGAGTATAAAAATTAAAAACTTCTGAGAACAATTCATATCATTGGAAAACATATGGTCAGAAAAATAATAGGTATATAATTGTAAATACCTGTTGGGAAATGGTCCTGATCGATAGTGAAAAATATTAAGCTAATAAAACCAATGAAACAATTTTTTCTAAATGAAATCAAAACAAAATAATTTTCGTTATAAAATATTTACTTTTAAATTTTTTAAAAATTTGGAAACTTTTTACAAAATTTCTATGAGTATTGAATAAATTTTACACCATTTTTTAAAAACAATTTTACAAATACACAGTCAATAAATATATATTCTTAAAAACGAATTATTTCCCTTCAATCGAATTTGGACCCAAATTCCCTAATCTTCTTCTACGAACCGCAATATTTGTAGTAATTTTATTGATCTGCCCCGCATTAACTACTAGACTATGGAAAAGGCARACACTTGAAAATAATACCGGAAGATATAAGTGCATTAAGCACTTCGTTCAGATCGTCCAAACAATCGGCCTGTGTGAATCCCACAGCCGCAATAAGCAAAAACATAGCAAAGATAACCGCGAGTTTTGTATTCATGGAAGCGAAGACAACGAGTAAGGAGAGTTGAATGGTTGACCTCCACTCAATTTATTACTTTTATACTTTATATAATAAAAGCGGTCGACACTTACGTTGACTAAAGAAAGCGACGATTTTTGCACAGATGCTGTTCTAGAATTTTAGTGATAAGAATGCGCGGCTACAAGCTTAGCTCTAAAAATAATTTTAAAGCACTAATGYAATGTATTTTTAGAAATGTTCGAGCTTGACACTCAATACTTTCCAAAATGTTAAAGATGTTGATCTCCACAAGAAACGAAAACAAGAAGGGGATTTATGTAGATAAATCACGCGCATAATTGTTAATTCTTTTTTCGTGATATAATCATATATTCTCAAAACTAATGCAAAAGTTAACAATTTTGAATCCCAAGCTGATGAAAATATATTTTTTTCGCTTAATTGCTTAACTTRCATGCTATGAAGTTCTTAGAATTCCTTGGCAAAAATATTTCATGTTTGGATAATAACGTTTAGTAGGCATATCATTGCTCTGATTCCACCTCTTTCTATTTAAATTTACACTTATAGTACCTACCTAGTAACTACTTACTTAATACTTATAGTACTTAATTTTCAAAATACATACTTAYTAAATAACCCAAAACAAGTACCTTCTAATAAAACTTTTATTAGATTGTTTCCGTTTTACTATTTTCTCGAGTTTCCTCACAATTGAAGAATATTACTTTMTATGCGCCAAAGTGTGTTACCTTATCGGCGGGTAAGTGTGCGCTTTGCTTGCATAAAAACGGGGATTCTCCTAGAGTACTCACATATATGTATGTTTGACTTAATTGTATACAACCAACTCGGAAAAGACACCGGTACACATAATTTATGCATCTCTGCGCTGCTGAGAAGAATAAAATCACCGAGGGTTAAAGAACATTATTGGCTGCTTATCAGTACGCGCCCATATAGTGAGCGTATGTGCACCCCCGTAGCATTTCTAGGTCTAATAACGGCTGCAGCTGCCGCAAGCCGAAGCTTGAGCCCACTATAAAAAGTGCAGCGCCAATAAACGACAAAACACGTAAATTCCAGACTTTCATAAGCAGAAAAATTCAATTCCAAATGAACTTCAACAAAGTTTTCATCTTCTTTGCCGTGATGATCGCCATTTTCGCCGGACAAGCCGAGGCTGGTTGGCTCAAGAAAATCGGCAAGAAAATTGTAAGTATTTTTACTGTATATTTGGATATTTTCAATTTCCTAACATGTCTAATACTTTTCGTCAGGAACGTGTTGGTCAGCATACCAGAGATGCCGCCATTCAGGGAATTGCTGTGGCTCAACAGGCCGCCAATGTTGCTGCCACTGCGAGAGGCAAATAGCTGCCTAAATTAATAAGTGATAAATTATTTATGGWAATATGTATACATTTTAATAATAAATTAAATAAATCGATGAAAAAAAGAAGTTTGCAATTGATGCTCTTGCTTAAAGGATGTTTGGATATAAGCTATTTGATTGAAATCGTCAAAAAGAAGGAAAAATATTGATAAGTAGATATAAGTAGAGTTTACATTATCCTAGACAGGAAATAAGGATCTTCACATTAATCGCTTTACTCAACAAGTGGGTATGGGATCGAAAGACGCGGCTACCTCACAAATATTTTTTTGATACTCTGTAACCTCTCGGCCGGCAATCTGTAGTTTAGACATACATAAAAATACCACCTCCACCTCGTTTTAGCTGCGGATAATAATAATTTTGGAAGTCTGTGAAGAAGTTTTGCTCGGAAATATTTTTCTGGAAGTCCGGATATTGTTTAAAAATATGTTGATAATAATGCACTAYCGCATCGAGCCACGAATGTGACCGAATTTAAAGTCAAAAACCCAATGAATACCATCGCTCAACCACATTATTCACAAGATTTGGCTCAGTGTGATTTTTTATTGTTACCCAAACTGAAATTGTCTCTGCGTGGAACCCGTTTTCAGTCGATAGAAGAGATAATACATAAATTGAGAGCTAAATTAATATAATTTGATCAAAGCTTAAATGTAGTAATACTACTTCATTTTAGTCAATTAAATACTATTTCATAAAAAGTATGGACCTAATTTCATATAGAAGCGTATGGATAGGTCGTACGTTTTAAGCTGTGGAATTGACATTCTCGAACTCTATGTAATTATTGGGTAGTCGGAAAAGTATTTTCGTATTTTGCCAATAGATGTTGTTGCAGTCGTATATCTCCCGTGGTACCACTCACATTACGTCATACTATAGAGTGTTGGAAGTGTGAGATTTAAGCTTCATTTAACCTTAATTTAAAAAATTAAATTCGGGAAAGTTGAAAAAAAAAACAAAGAAGAAATGAGTGAAAATAATGAAGAAATTCGCTATATTTTRAAWTTTTTTTATAAAAAAGGAAAGAATGACATGCAAGCCATCAATGAAATTTCTGCAGTTTTAGAAGACGATGCTGTATCAGAGTAGCACAACAATGGTTTGCTAGTTTCCGTTCTCAAAATTTCAATGTGAAAGATGCACCTCGCTCTGGTCGACCTATCGTTGAAAAAGTCAACGAAATCATAGAAAAGATTGACCAGGACCGTAGCAGCCATGACATCGCTAAGGAACTCGACATTCATCATCAAATGTTTGTGAACCATTTAAGAACGGCTGGCTACAAAAAGAAGCTCGATGTTTGAGTACCACATGAATTGTCTCTGAAATGGACCGAATTAACATATGCGATTGYTTGCTGAAATGAAATGAAATCGAACCAACAGGAGACGAAAAGTGGATCAAAYACTAYATGCAATAATGTACAAAMAAGATCATGGTCCAAATGGTGGTGAAGCTSAACAGATGGACCCAAAGCCAGGATTGCCGTCTCGAAAGGTTATGCTGAGTATTTGTTGGGGTTGAAAAGGAATCTGATGATGATTCCTTTCCAACCCCAACAAACGCTACGCCCAAGGGCAACGCTAGACCACACACATCTTTGATGAATCTGCAAACCCTGAAAGAGCTTGGCTGAAAAGTTTTGATGCATCCACCATATAGCCCTGACCTTGCGTCATTGGACTGCCACTTGTTTCGGTCAATGCTAAGGTTGGCTTCAAGGGAAGCCTGTAATTCATTAAAGTTTATTATAAATATAAAAGGCCAGTTGAAATTTGATCAAATATACGAAAAGATTTTATATAGACTACTCTATATAAAATAATCGAATTTGTATAAAAAATTCGGCTCCATAATTTTTCATACATATATTTTTTATTGCCCAAAAGTTAATCAACAACATTTAAATGATGCTGTGAATACATATATACATATGTGTATAAGTATTTTCACTCTACTGAATGCCGTATAGGAAGAAATCCCCGACACTGCGCTGATAAGGAAAGGTACCTTTTGCCGAATCGTTATAAAAGCAAATCGGCACTAGTGAAGTATCAACAAACACAATTCGAACGTCGAAGAAAGTGGAAGCACACCAAGCTTAAATAATCTTTCATACAAGCAAACAAATCTACAAACATAAGCAAAATGAACTTCAACAAAATTTTCGTTCTTTTGGCTGTCTTCATTGCCGTCTTCGCTGGCCAAACTGAGGCGGGATGGTTGAAAAAGATTGGCAAGAAAATTGTAAGTTTGAAATAATATCTTAAAAATAAAATTAATATATTTCAATGTGCATTCTGCAATAAGAAGRATTTASTAACTTCTCAATTTCTCTTCATAAATTTCAGGAGCGCGTTGGTCAACATACCCGAGATGCCACTATCCAGACCATTGCCGTAGCGCAACAGGCCGCCAATGTTGCGGCAACATTGAAGGGATAAACTGAAACTGTTCGCATGTTGTTACAAAAAATACTATGTACTTAAATTAGTTTAATATTTATTTATTTAGACATATTTATGACTGAGYTATGATAAATGAAAATAATAAAAATAATAAAACAAAAAATGTGCAATTTTTACTTATATGTATGTATGTACATACTATGTTTATGTATATAATATGAAATTTTATTTAGCAATCAAAGGATCCTCAATGGAAACTATCTTTGCTTGAAGTATTTCGAAATATAATGCTTTACTTTGGTGTTGAACTTTGTCGTTGTTCTCTCCTATAAAAGTGAGTGAGAAGTGATATCACGAAAAGATTAGGGACAAGAAAGAATTCGGTTTTTCAAGTAAAGCACTTCAAGTAATTAATGAACTGAAATTGCCTCTAGCATTTTAATTCAAGTTTGAGAGTTATCAAATTTAACAAATAAAAGTTGTTCTTTATTATCAAGCGRGACTAAATTAAGCATTCTTGCGTTAAAATGATAGCCAAACACTGACGTCTTGTAAATCAATAATTGAAGTYTTTAAATTCTATATCTCTTAGCTAGCAACAAGTACAAAAAGCTTCCARACTYAACTATTAAATAACATTCTACATGRAAAGACTTGCGCCTGAACAACGTTTAGAAATCGTTCAAATTTATTMAGTAAATTCACGTTCCGTTTSGCGCTTCGCTCAACCTATGGTGAACATAATCGGCCTACTGGGCATGCTGTTCGAAACACCATCAATTCATCATTTAAAGCGTACAAAATGCATGAAAAAGAACTGAAGCCGCTTGATGTTCCCAAGCGATATCGCTTCGCTTTAAGGGCTCTTGAACGGTTTCAAGAAAATATGCCCTTTTCGAGCCAAATTCTGTTCAACTAAAATTGCAACATTTGGGATGAAAAGCAAACCTGAAGTTTCGAGAACTGCCATTTCATCCAGAAAAAGAACGGTAATGTGCGGTTTGTGGGTCAGTGGAATCATCGATCTTTATTTCTTCAAATATGATCGAGCCATGATAATCGAGCCACGTGATCTCGGCAACATTTGGTTCCAACTTTCCACACTTCGGAGAGCAGATAATTTCAAGTTTTGAACCGGTCGATTGGCCACCAGATCGTGTCACATCAAGCCGTTARAATTTTCMMTATGGGAATATGTAAAGTCTAAAGTATATGTGGACAATTTGGCTTCAATTCAGGCCTTGGAGCAAAACATCACTCGTGTTATTCGCCAGTTACCAGTCGAGTTTTCGAGCATTGAACTCAACGTATGGATTTGAAAGGGATAATCTTCAAGTAACTACTTGCCAAAGAATGTTCTTTCGTATGATAATAAACATTCCCCATTAAATTTGATATTGCAGTGTTTTTTCTTWAAAAAAAAAAAATTTAGGAAACCTCGAAATGGATCACCCTTTATATATGGATTTTGAAGATAATGACTTTATAGAGGCATGTCAAATAAATTTTAAAAATATCTCGTTATGAATTTTACCACATTCATCTAGAAAAAATACCGAATACCAATTTTTTCAAGGAAATACCCAACTATAAGCTTTCACTTTCATTACACACTCTATATGATTCATGCGATAAGGTCAAAATGAGTATTCACAGAGCACGCCAACATAAATGCTTTGCTTCTATGTTAAATAAACGTCAAATAAAGGAAAATCAGCGCTAATCACCACCGGAATGATTTTTCACTAGACACTAGGTTCAGTCCTACAGTAAGACCAATATATAAATGCAACATTATTTACTCGTATTATATTTTGTTAAGCCCCAAGCGTCAATCCCGGTTTTTCGTAAAGCGTTTCAATAAATTTTAATTTTCGCTCACTTTCAGTTTTTTTGGGGTGTTTCTCAATTTTCCATTAATTAAAAAATTATAATTATTTCTTTGTTTTCTTATTATGGAAAAAGAACCGAATTCATCTCAGAGAAATCACCAAATACCAGGAAAGACAGTGACGTTTCAACCATATTTTGCGAATTATGAGCAGAGCATTAACCTCTTTTGTGTTGTTGGCAATGATACATAGCAAAGAATCAAACACTGATAGCAACTGAGACAAATGAAAGATAGGAATATAAGTAAAACACATAATGAGATTATACTGTTTTATATGATTGGTTATATCTACAAGTGTCTACAAATACCCGGTAGAAAATTATTACGAAAATAAAATTTAAAAAAACTTTAAATAAAACTAAAATTAAAAATAAAAAATTTAAAAAATAAAAAAAAAATTAAAATTAAATCCGAAAACTATGCTTTTTACAATGAAATATTTCTGTTATTCGCATATTTTGCAAAATTCTTTTATATAGACACAGAAAAAATGCTGCAGATAGTTTGCACAAAATATTTCCTATTAAATTGAAATTTTAAGTTCAAAGTATAAAATGTAGTAAATGTTAAATAAAGTAATTTTCTTTTTGATGGTTTCATTCGTAAATTTTTGGTATTTTTTTCTTGCTGGGTCATTGAACCACTCAATGGCTACGTTTGTAGATATGCAAATTGAAAACTTTTATGAATGAAACAGAGCAAAG